GAAGTCTCATCTAATAGCTCTAAACAAGAAGGGGGGGTTATGCACAAATCAGACAAGCACAAGAAGCAGTCAACCCTCACACTATCAAAGATGAGAGATGTGAAACCATGACATATCCATTAAACACATTTTAAAAAAATATATTAATTAGACTTGACTAGTCAACTTTAGATAATATGACTAGTCAACTTTTTGAAATGTGCTGGAGACGAGGAACAGACAAGCTAATCAATCAATTGAGCAAAGGCCAATGGACTGTCTGAGTGTGATATGTTTCTGAAAGTCCAAAGCCTTGGTGAGTATGTCTGCAAGTTGTTTCTCAGAAGGAACAAAACTCTAAGGTTAAAATTTTGTCTTCCACAAGATCTCTAATAAAATGATGTCAAATGTCTATATGCTTAGTCCTAGAGTATTGAACAAGATTTTTAGAAATATCTATGGCACTCATGTTGTCACAATAGATTAGAAAGCATGATTGAGCAAGACCATAGTCTTCCAACATTTGTCCCATCCAAAGGAGTTGATTGCAGCAACTCCCAGTTGCAACATACTCTGCTTCAGCAGTGGATAAGGAGACAGAGTTCTGTTTTTTTCTATGCCAAGCAACTAGGTTGTTGCCTACATAAAGGACCCCCTGGAAGTGCTTTTCTTATCATCACTACAACCTGCCCAATCGGCATCACTATACCCAACAAGAGTGGCACAAGTGTCATAGGTATACCACAACCCAAACTCAACAGTCCCACTCACATATTTTATGATTCTCTTAACAGCAAACAAGTGAGACTCTTTTGGGTCACTTTGAAACCTAGCACACACTCCAACACTATAAGAAATGTCTGGTCTACTAGCAGTCAAGTAGAGAAGACTTCCTATCATGCTTTTATAGAGAGTTTGATCCACACTTTTGCCATGTAAGTCTCTATGAATTTTAGCACTAGTGCTCATTGGAGTTCTTGCAGATTTTGCAGCTTCCAAACCAAATTTTTTCACAAGATTTTTTGCATATTTTGATTGAGATATAAAGATCCCATCATGGCTTTGTTTGATTTGAAGACCTAAGAAATAGTTAAGCTCACCGACAAGACTCATTTCAAATTCACTAGTCATGACATGAATAAACTCTTGAACATGCAAGTCAGAGGTAGAACCAACCACAATATCATCAACATACACTTGAGCAATCAAGACATCTCTTTTGAACCTTTTTACAAACAAAGTTTTGTCAACCAACCCTCTAACATAGCCATTTCCTAGAAGATGAGAGGATAATCTCTCATACCATGCTCTAGGAGCTTGTTTCAAACCATAGAGTGCCTTTGTTAACCGAAACACATCATTTGGATGATGTGGATCTTCAAAACCCTTTGGTTGCTCAACATAGACCTCTTCATTTAAAATACCATTCAAAAAAGCAGTTTTGACATCCATTTGATAAAGTTTGAATTTCAAGTGACAAGCAATAGCAACAAGTAATCTAACTGATTCTAACTTTGCAACAGGGGCAAAAGTTTCATCAAAGTAAATGCCCTCCATTTGAGTGTATCCTTGAGCAACCAATCTAGCCTTGTTGCTTACCACATTACCTTGTTCATCAGTTTTATTTTTGAAAATCCACTTAGTACCTATAACATTAGTGTTGACTGGTCTAGGAACAAGGCACCAAACATCATTTCTTACAAATTGATTCAATTCCTCCTACATTGCAAGAAACCATTCACCATGGTGCAAGGCTTCTTTCACATTTTTAGGCTCTTCCTTTGAGACATAACACACATGACTAATTTCTTGAGCTATTTGTTTCCTAGTTCTCACTCCCTGATTAAAAGGACCAATAATGACACTCTCAGTTTGAGTGAGAGGATTGTGAACAGCATGGGAGCTGGCAACCTGGACAGATGAGATGGAACTAGAGGTTGAAGGAGTTGACAGGTCAACCGGGACAGAATTTCCAAAAGTTGACAGGTCAACCACAAGATCTAGACCTGGAGATTTTTGCTCGAAAGGAGGAGGAAAAAGACCATCCTCATCTAATGCCATCTCAGTAGAGGCAGCAAAATCATCAATATTGATATTTATGGACTCAATGATGGTTCTAGTCCTACAGTTGTACATTCTATAGGCTCGGCTTGAAGTGGAATACCCTAGAAATATTCCCTTATCACACTTAGAATCAAACTTAGCAAGATGCTCCCTATCTCTCAGAATATAGCATGTGCTACCAAAGACTCTAAAATGTGACACATTAGGTTTCTTTCCTTTCCAAATCTCGCAGGGAGTTTGTTTGGTACCAGACCTCAAAAATACCCTGTTTGAGATGTAACAAGCTGTATTTACAGCTTCAGCCCAAAATTGTTTAGCAAAATTTTTGCTATTGAGCATCACCCTAGCCATCTCAACAAGAACTCTATTCTTGTGAGAGTTCGTTTTTTTTATAAAAAAAAATTAAAGAAATTTAAAAGTATATATATTAATAATTTGAAGAAATAAATATTTATATCTTATTTTATTACATATATTATTCTATTAAGATAAATATCTTATTCTATTATATATATGTGTGTGTGTATTACATAAATAACCTACACTATATATATATATTGATATGCTTAGTCATGGTAGTGTTGTACGTGTCAAAGAAAAACAATGCTTAGTAAACATAGCTAGAATATAACTTGAATGGTAAGTCTTAGTATGTTCTTATCTATTAATTGTTAACTTGGATGGTAAGTCTTAGTAAACCGCCAAATACCATCCAATAAGAAGGAAGTCACTGCCGACATATTCCTTTTGTGCATAGAAAATGAACAGAGAGAGAGAGAGAAGTGATGAAACTCTTGGAGTTTGGTTTGAGTGGTAATATATGAAGATAGGTAGATGGGTTGTCTTGCCAATTTATTTAACGGGTTCTCATTAGCGAGGTGAGTGGTTTATGTAATGTGTTCTAAAAGTTCTTATTTTAAATATGAAAACCATGAATTATCGTGGATTTATTCTATTTACAAATATCTCTCTATTTCAAGTCAAGCATGTCTAATTTTGTGCAATCTTTCACACTATGTATATATATTGATTGGAATATGAAGTATGTATTATTCATGGAACATGAGAACTTCAATGTTGGAATATCCAAAGGATAGATGTACCACACGGGGACATAGGACAGTGAGGCCAATATAGGGATCACGTGGTTGGTTACATGCTATGAAGGATAACCAAGATATGAAGGGATGATGTGATATGATCTGGATTGGTGTATCTTTTCATGATATTTTCTAGAGTGTGTAAAACGGCATTGCTTGACT